TCAATGACCTCCCAAGGCAAGGAATTTCCCTCTTAGTGAAACTAATGTCACTGCCTGGTAAATCTGAAAGCAGAGAGTTGAAAAGCTCTGAACTCTTCCAACAGCAAGACAGGGCAATGGCTACTACACAACTGGGGACTGTTGAACCAGCAGTCCCCCAGCAGCCTCTGCAGGGAATGAGCCATAAGCCTGGCAGGTGAGGAGGCAAAAGGCAGGTGGGATTCCAGAAACCCTTTGGTCCACTTATATAAAATCAGACTATATTTGCAACACAGTTCAGCCTTGCAGGCTCAGCAAACATATCTATTGAATGGCTAAGATATTAAAAGAGGCAATAACATAGTAGAGGTAAAAATGCAAGATTTTTGACTGAAGAGTCATATTCCAACAGCAAGTGTCAGCACAGTTTTTCCTTGTAAGTATAAAAGAGTTTATTATTTACCATGCAAGCTAAATATAGCTATCCATAATACCCTGTAACATTCTCTGAAACAGGAACAAACATGTTCATTTTAATAATATTCACTTTTTTTCACAATACAATCAAGTATCCACATTTTCACAACAGAAATTTAGGATCTGATTGTTCTGATTTAGGCATCCTGCTGTCATTTTACCAAGGCAATGTGGGTGCAAAACTTTCTCATGAGAGCGATTTCTAATCTGCTTTGCCCAAGCAGACTACTATGGAAATAGGAGATTAGTGGTCTACATTTAAAGCAAGGTTTGAACTGAAGGTACCACAGTTCTATTGTCATATCTCACTGCAGCTTCGTTTGTGTTGTTTATGGAAATCCAGCCATACTCCATGTGAGGGCAGAGAAAAAGGAGGAAACAGGTTTTGTTACAAGGTCACTCTTTTCCTGTGAAGGCCACTTCCAGTAAACAGGATCTGTAAGGCTATACTATTTTACACATTACCAGAGGTAAATAATCTTGAAAGCTTTAAAGGAATATTTCTGTTCAGAAATATCTTGATTTATGTACTCAGAAATGTAAGCTTGTCAATCCCTTGCCTCAGTAAGAGTAATCTCCAAGTAATATGTTTTGCCTCAAGCAACAGAAGCTCCAGATACAATTGTGTTTTAAAAGCAAGAATTATGAAGCATCTAAAGCAACTTTCAACAATAACTTTCTTCCATTGACACCAGCAGGAGTCCTGTGATTGACTAAAATCTACGGGTCAATACAATTTTAGGCAGTAAATAATGTATAATATTTTCATAAGTCAAGGACAACATTTTGATCAGGTATAACAGAAATATTAGAGTGGCCATAACAACATTCTCAGTATTTACGTTCAGCAAATGAGATATCCTGACACAGTTTTGTGAGCGAGGGTATTTGCTTTAAATGTCTTGAAGCTCACCTCATCAAATATACTCAATCCATAAGAAAAATCCCTGTGAGCATCACTAGGGTTTCACTTAAGACAGACAAAGGAAAAAGAAATAAAACCTAGAATTATCAGCATTTCTACATGTTCTAACTCATTATAATTTTAAAAGGTAATAAAAATTACTAATAAACATTCAGAAGGTTGCCTGAACTCTGCTAGAACAGAGTAAGATTAGTATGATTGCAGTTTTACTAGTTGATGGATGAAATTATTGTCCCATCAGCTAAGTTATTTTTTCACATATTTTATAGTTCACTTAATGCTTTTTGACTATGCAATGAAAAGCTGAAAATGGATGTGGTTAGAGTATTAAGAATGACTGCCACCTCATAGCATTTGAATGATAATTTCTTATTTGTAGTAGATCCTTTTTAAAGAAATATTACTATAATTTGTTTCACTCAAACTTAGTACATCAAAATATCCAAATATTCAGTATAAAGTGTTTACTATGTTAATCAAATTAATAATAGAAAATTATTTCAATCACTAAACTGTAATTTAACTGAAGTTACAGTGTCAGTTCTCTGACTTGCTAATGCTTTTTAAGAAATCATGAGTCAGAGAAAGGTTTTCAAAATGTCTGCATGGCTTTTCCACCCTGTGTTGACCACCATTAGCTACTAATAGACAGTAACATAAACTCTTGTAGCACATAATAAAGCCAGGTTGCACTGTCATAACCACTGCAAAAATTAAGAAAATATCTTCCCAAGGGCCACAGTATTAAGTTTTCCCCATGATACTTCCAAGAGTCACCCAGGCTGCAATACCAGATATGGGTTGAATGGTTGAGACAGGCCCATAAAGTTGATGTAGACCGGTAAATTTTCCCCAGAATTACGTTAACGGAGGGATAAAGCGTTACTAGATTGAGTTGTTCTCACTGGATAGAAAGAAAGTTAAAGCTCTGGATTGGCTTAAGTTCCAGTTGCCATTTCTTCGCTGTTAGAGAAGCTGCCTTCCTCTAAGAAATAATGTGCTCCTAAAATGTGTTATTCCACATTATCTGTAGAACACCACAGATGATATCATATAGACAAGTATGAGAAAGTGATTGTGGCAGAGAAGGCTATGATTTAAACGAGATATTAAACAGAATATTGGGAGCATGTGATAGTGATAAAAGCAGGAAGAGATGCATTTTGTCAACAACGGGTCAAGAACTTAGACTGTTTTGGACTGGATCTCACTGCACGTCATTCTCAGGCCTTACTTATTCTTCTTACAGATCCCTGAACACAACAGAAGCAGTCTTTGACTCACACAGCCTCATGACTACAGTGAGACAAACCTAACCCACAGGTAACATGCCTGTGGAATAGATACTGGTGGGAGGGGTGCACTGAGAATGCACTCGTGTTTTTACATGCAATCACTTGTGTGCATGTTCTTTCATGGTAGGGAAGCAAAGTGCACATGTGCCATATCCAAACCTCAAGGCTCCTGCAGCCTCTGCAGTGACAGGTGCTGTCAGTGCTAAGTGCCCTGGAAAGATAAATGCTCAGTGCCTGTGATCTCTGCAGTTATCCTTATGAGCTGGATTTCCAGTTTGGCTCAGCCTCTTGGAACCCAGTAAGAATGTGGCAAACAAGCAGTTAAGAACATTCAACTTTAGGCCAAAATCCCCAGCTCCACACCGCCTGAATTACAGCTTTTTCCTAGTGTATAAAGTTTAATCATTCATTTCATTCAGGACTTGACACTGTTAGGGAAGTTACAAGACCAAGTAAAGAGAGAAGCAAAAAGAAGAGGAGAATAACACCTGTCTTTGCAGCTGGTCAACAGGCAGACCTTTAATGTGCTGCCTGCTGTGAAAGAGGGATGGTCTCATGTTACACTGAGGCTTCAGCAAACGATGGAGTTTGCAAAAAGGAATCCTGCAACCAGAAGATGTGAGGCTTGGGTTTTAGCCAAAAACAATGGAGAACAGCATTAAATGAAAAGTTCCATAAGTTCAAATGCATTCAATCACTGAACAACACACAGCTTTGTGGTTTGAACAAATTTAAAAAAGGAATTTAAATCATCACTGCAGAGCTACCAATTGTTTCTAATTTTGAAGAACAATCACTATTTTACCCTTAACTACCACCAAATGCTTCCCAGAGTGGCCATAGTCACCCATAAACAGACTGAATACCTTCATTGCGGAAAAACAGACCAAGCCTGATAAAAGCTGATATGCTACTCTGAAAATTGCTTTACTGCCTGAAGCAGAATTTCATATCTTTCATAGGCTAAATCGACCCTAATAAGTGGCACCAGTTTTGCTTCAAGTTACATTCTTATAAGCTCATTGACTACAATTGGGAAGTCATTGAAGAAGAGCGATTCCAAAAGATTAGTTGAGAAATACAGATAATGGTATTAGAGGAGACATTTAGAGACTATAATCTTAAGCACAGAAATGTTGCAACAGAAAGCAGTAGAATAAAATAAAGAAATAGAAGTTGAGCTGAAAATCCTAAAGCAGTGAAACCTGCATAGTTCTACTTCTGAAATGAAGCAGTGAGGAAAGGACTGCAAAATATCTCACAAAAAATTATCAAAGTACTACACAACCAGGGAGTAAAGTCAAAATGCCCTTTTTTTCCCAACTCTCAATAATACTGACTGCTAGAAAGGGACAGGTGCTTAAGAAGCAGATCAGTAGTGACCTGCATTTTCAACAGTGGCCTCTAATTTTGGTTTCATAGCATGAGACGAAGAATCTTTTTTTCTGAGAGATCTAAAACATCTTAAACTCTCCCTAATTTTGGTAGGAAATGAGAGGACAGTAACCTTCCCTGATGAGGAAGTGAACGGGGAATATATCACCCACAAAGTGTTGCTGAGAAGTGAACTGTTGGAATTATAATTCCACAATATCAGGAACCTGACATTAATGATTTAAGAAAGAGATATTTAAATGCTATAATATTTGAAGATTAATGTACTGAACTAAGTTTGATGCACTACAGTTTGAATTATTAGTAAATATTTTAAGATCATATACAGATACAGTTTATACTGGCCTATTGAAGTGAGAGATTGAGTTCACATTAACAAGGGTATTTGCTTTTTGGGTTTTTTTATTTTATGGCAGACAATAAGAAACCTTTGGAAAACAAAAAATCCATAAACTCTATTTCAGTTCTTGGTTTTTGGGTTCATTGCTAGAGATTTAATGACCTAAGATTCCTATAATCTCTAATTTTATGATTCTATTAAACAAATGATAAATAAAAATTTCCTTGAGACATACAGAGGGGGAAAAAATTCATGAAAATATTGGAAAAGGATCCGGGTTTTCAGTCAGTTGAAATATCCCTAATTGGCTGGCATGTTTTGCTGCACTTATTACAGTGAATGCTGCCATCTGTTTCTTACTTCAAAAGAAACAGTCAAAACGATTAGCAAGCCAACAGAGAAGGAAGTCTTATCATGCATATAGAATATTTTTAAAAGCATAGTATCCACTAGCTCCCTGTGGATAGAATATTTCTAGTCTTGACGTGAAAATTACTGGTAGAAAAATTGTGACAGGCAAATTTTTCAACCAGCTTCCATTTGTGATCATTTTGACTTCACATTTTCCATTTCCCACTTTAGGATTTACCTTTTAAGTATCCCAGTAAGGGTGTTTGTGACGATCCAGGCTGTGCACTCTCCATCCAGAAGATCGCAGGTTGGTGGTTGAAGATATTGAGAAGTTTGCCAATGCAAAAAATCATCTCTAATAGCCCAAAGGGAAGACTACTAAGCAACAAGGAAAGAGCATGAAGGAAGACACTGACAATGTTAGGGTAAAGAAAAAGACACATAAGAGACAGAATAAGCCTTTACTTTCACTAGACACCTTGTGCATGATCAATAGTGCCATCATCACAACTGATCAAATATGCATCACACTAGCTATTTTCCTAATAGTTAAGCATCATAATGAATTGCTGATATTTCAGCACTTCATTCTTTAGTTTCATGATGACTGCCAAAGTGATGCTTGCAAAACCAGTAATGTCAAAGACCCCTTGCCTATATATTATTGTTGGACTTTCACTTCCTTGCAGACTATTCAGTCTATTATGAGAATATTGTAAAGGCAAAATCCCATGCCAATCTGTATAGCCACAATCTGAAAAGTCATGGAAAGGAAACTATAGCATGAAACCATGACAGCTGCTACAGTCAAGAGGTGGCAATAGCATAAGTATGAAATAGAGGAGAGGATTTAACTCACATGAAGCCTGTTATGTATCTTTTCACCCTATCAGTGCAGTGGAGAGTATCAAGATTCATGTCTTCTCTCCATCCCATTCTTTTTTTCTCTAACCATAGGAATCCAAATCTGGATCTGTCTGAAATTAGGAGAAATAAGAGCTTTCTGCTCTCTGCATCTCAAGGCAGAAAACAGCAGGTCCCATTGCTACAGGGAACAAAAATAACTTGCAACAAAACTCATCTTGTTTTTTGCTTGTTTTTCCAGTTTTTTGCTTTGCTTCACAAAAGACTTTCTTAATTCAGTTTGTGCTTTTTCTTCATATGTCAATGACAGTAAGACAGTACCATAGTATTTCCTGTTTTTACAACTGCCAGAGTAACAGGAATAGGAGACACAAAGACCAGGGCTGAGATATACCCACCAGTAATCCCTTCCTTGACTCCTATTTGTAGGCCACATAAAGAACCATGGGATTTTAGAAGGAGCAGTATGCCAATATATATTTTTACTATAGGATGTCCAGGCTGTAAAAGCACCTGCTTAGGTATGAATGAAGTAAATGGGATAAAAAAGAACAGAAAATATAATGGGTGAGGATAGGGGGTAGATGGCAAAATAGAAAAAAACAAAACCAAACAAACCTCAAAATCCAAGAGATGAATAACAGGTCATCCATGAACGTTTGCTATCAGAGCCTGGGAGTCAACCAAAAAACATAAAGAAGAAAAAACATATAAGCCTCAGACCAAAAAAAATAATCCTATCTCAGCTTACAAATGTGACTGGTGCGGTTTTTGTTTTTCATCAACTTTCTTTAAAAAAAAAGAAGGGAAAAAAAAAGTAAGGTATCCACTCACAGAGAGTGGAAAACAGAAGAATGGCCATGAGCTGATGTGATAGCTGCTGGCTCTTGCAAACTTAAAAGGGAAATGAGAGAAAGCTCAAGAAAAGCAGCACTTACAGGCAAGAAAGGTGGCTGTACCTTTGTACTAGTGGGTACCACCTGAGCCAGGGATTCAGCAATTCTCAGGCAGATGGACCTTTGGAAATACAGGTAAATTCAGAGGAGATATTTGAACCTTTAAATGAGATGTAAAAAAGCATGGGAATTCAATCAGCTCCTCTGTGAGCATTGTTGACTATTACACAAGCTTGATCTATCTTAGGGAACTGTGCATTAGGATGCCCAATATAAATAGTTCTTAAATTAAATTTAAAAAAAAAAAAAAGAAAGAAAGAAAGAAAAACCACTATAGCTTGGATGAAGGTATCTTTTTCTTCTAAAAGTCTCACCATTCTCCTGCCAAGAGAGAACATTTAGAATCTACTGTTATCAATAGGCAGATCTGAAGTGGGACAGAACTGCCTATCTCCACTTGTCACAAATATGTCTACTGTGTTACCAGAAATGTTTTTTGATAAATGAATTGGAAACCAGCCTATTTATTCTGTATAATAAAAAGCAAGTGCTGGAGGGTATTTAACATGCAAAGGGTACACGCCACAGATTGCTGTGCTCACTGCATGACAGGCACTGAGGAAACTAGTTGGACTCAGACTCTACGTTCCTCATGGAAGGGAAGAAATGTCATTTAAGGTAATGTGTACAACTGGTCAAATCAGTGCTGACAAATACATTTGCTGACAACTTCAGCCCTTTTTCCAATTACCAGCTGTTTGCAAACAGACTACTGCTGTGTTTGTTATTGTAATTGTAGGACAGACAATTGAAGTGCCTGAGCCAAAAGCCCAAAACTCTCATTGACTTCACTGGACTATGGGAAAGGGCTGTAGATGAACAAACTTTACACAAAGAATTCCTGAAATATTCACTTGGACTCTTTCCCGTTTCTAATTCATGCTGTGTAGCTGGTCATTCACATTATATAGATTTTATTTTTTTTTGCTTCCAGACTATATATATAAAATCTTTTAATTAATAGTTTAATAGCAAATAGGTTTTACATCTGAATGAATAACAATATTCAAATGAGACAAAAAGATTGTGAAGAGTAGTCATCATCCAAATGTTTGTGGCAGTACAAACATCCATGAGTGGCTGATATCAAATGTTGCAGTAAGCCTGAGATGTTCTGAAACCATGGCAGCATTTGCAAGTGTAGTTTCAGTTCATTCAAGAATCTACTGCATGAATCATTAGTCAGAAGCAAGAGTAGTCTCAGAACAAACTGCTCTGCAAGCTGATACACTCAAGGTTGAGATCACCAACTAATCTCTCCTTCCCATGAATAAAGAGGAAACCAAACACTGGGATTAAACATGTAACTGCTTCATTTTTCAGGATCTGGAATTATATTGCTTGCCTCTACAGGGGAAAGTAGTTGTCTTTATAATTCAGCCCTACTTTGTCTGTTATGGTTATGGATAGCAATAACATATCTGTTCCAAAGTACTCTAGGAAAAATTCTTCAGAGGATTTACCATTTAATAGTGAGATTATGATACACTTACCTTTACAGAATAACATCCTCTTTTCCTAATCCAACTGGCTTTTATTAGATTTGTTTGAAGACTCATGGGACATACCAGCTACAGAAGGATATCATAATCTGATCCTTAGCTTCTTCTAAATGTCTTAAGCATTATGGATCCTACTTGCCCCTCTCAGTTGAACATACCAGAAAGTTTCTCCTTAATATTCAGGCATGCTTTTAAATATTCCCTTTCCCTCCTGTTTACAGAGTAATTTTTGTCCATCTTGGCCTTCATTTATTAAATAGTGGATGCTAAGACTAGAGTCTTATAACCAAGTCATCATGGAGAAATCAATTTTCTTGTATAAAACAATATAAACAACAGCGCGTATGTGGCAGAATTACCACCTCCCAAAGCTATACATCTCTTTGTATTCCTGAAATTCCTTCTCCTGAAACATATCCAGTGCAGATCAGATATTCTGATTATTTATATGTAGTCTTACATTGAAATCCCTTTCTGAGAAACAGCCCCTCAAAGGCACTGTAGCCACCCAGAAATTTGTGAGCAACTGGTTGAAGCTCTGAGCAACAACAATACACCTTGTGGCACATCACAAATATGTTTTCCATCTTTTGATTCCATTATTTATTTTCAGGTATTGAATCACAATGTTTACTAGAAGGTGCATACAGACACAACAAAACCAGTCAATTTTTAATGTAATAAATAAGCTCAAGCTACATATGTGATCTTCTACTTATAATAATTCTTGCCTTCTTTACACTGTATCTCGATAGCAGCAATTAATGAATGTGAAGGATATAACATTGGTTTGAGTGTTCAGTGTGATACACAGAACATTTCTATAAACCATCCCAAAAGCTCACAGAAAAGGGAACTGGCAAATAACGTAGGGTATGATGAGCTGAGCCAAGAATGTGATTTTGGACGGTTTCCATTGCGGTTTTCACTTCAGAGTAATTTGTATGATTTGGAAAGCTAGCAATGTAACTCTGTGTAGGGATGGGTTATTTGAGGTAACCTCTATGTTTAAAGGATGGGGTATTTTTACAGCCATGGACCAAAAATGAGGTCACATGCTACAGCTACCTAGAGCAAGGAAGGAAGACAGAGAATCCACTGTTTTTAATTTCTCACATTATCTTATACCATACAGATATGTATTTTGCTGTTCTTAAAATACATAGCTATTAACATGCTAATGGCATGATAAGCAAAACAGCAAAGCCTAATAAAATGTCCCTCTAGTAGAAATATTAACTTTTCACATTCTTTAAGGCTAATTTTCATATTAAATTCCTCAAGAAATCCAGTGAAGTATAAGCAAAGAGTGTAATATTTGAAACTTCTAAAATATATTGGATTTTATTGCATTCTGAGTTCATGTGACAGCCCAGCCTGTCTGTCTAGTGCTAGATTTTCTCAGAGATAAATCTTGAGCTAATTTCTAGAAAATAGCTGGAATTTTTTAAGCTGCAAAATTTAAATGTTATGGTTTGTACGTAAAGATACAGCAATTGTAGGCTTAACACAGTACATAAACACAGGACTACCATAATTTAACATATTTGGATGTGAACAGTATTTTGTCTAGCACAGAGGACGTAAAAGATGAAAAACATTAAATTCCCCGGAGAACCTTGAAATCAGTTTTGCAGTGGGACCTTTTAATGACTTAGATCCAGATCCCCATCTGTAGTGAAGTTTTAATGAAGGAAGTGAAGGTACCTAATTTACATCAATGAAAAATTATAAAATCAAGATAATCCAGACACTAAATTCTCATTTTGCTCCTCACAGCTTGCAAAGAGTAAAACTCTTCCAAGATTTCTACAGGAGACCAATCAGGTCTGGAAATCATCCACACTTACAGGATGATTTAGAGAAGTATTCATTGGGTCAATATCTTGAGACATTATGATATCCTTGGCTAGAAGCCAGGTGAATAAAAATAAAATAACAAAAAGTTAGAAATTGTGTGGCATTATAAAGAAAAATTAAACGGTACTAAATAAATAAAAAACACTGGCACTTAATAAACATGGGATGTTGTTTTTCCCCTCTTCTTTTTTGAAAAAGGTTGAACTGGTATTTTTGATTGTTGCTTATAAAAATCTTCTAACTTACTGACATGATCTAAGTGAGAACTTCAACTGTCTTCTGGTTCATTCCAACTTATAAAAACTCAGAGATGTGGAAAAAGGTCCTTAAACACATAGGCCTTCCACAAAAGAAATCCCTAGCGTGGGTGTTA